GCGCATTGGTGATGAGTGTAGTCGGTTTTGAAGGTTAAAACGGGGCGAGAACAGGACGATCAGTAACGCAGCGAATTAAACCACGTAAGACATCTTCACACTCCACCGACCATTCCCAAGCATCTGAACACTGAGCACGGAAAAGCGGTTGCGCCCTTGTAGGAAAGTTCGGGATAAATCGGGAATAGTACTGCAGGCATCCTATCACCGATCTCAAATGCGTTTGATCTTTTGGAGATTCGATGTTAGTCAATGGTTTGAAATGTGTCGGATCGGGACGATATCCACGGGAATCAACTGTGAATCCTAGGAACTCCAACTCACTCACTCCAAACACACATTTGGACGGCTTGATAGCCACGTTTATGGCGGCAAATCGTTCCAGTAGCTGCGTAAGACGGGCATCTTGGTCTTTCTTATTTAGGCCGAAACTGAGGGCGTCATCTTGATGTGCAAGCACGCCATCGAGTCCTTTGATTACACTGTCTATTGCCGATTGAAAGAGGCCAGACGACACATGCAATCCGAATGGTAGAAAATTGTACTGATACATTCCCCACGGCGTGTTGATTGTTGTCAGGTAGCGAGACTTGACATCGAGTGGAATCTATAAGTATGCGTCCGCCAAATCAATCTTCGAAAAATACTGGCACCCATGCAATGACTTTATGAAATCCTCTGGTTCCATGGTTCCACATCTCCGCAATCTGGGATTCAACGTTAGTTGATAATCTCCACAGATTCGTGGTGTCCTACCATCACTTTTCATCGCCACGACGATCGAGGTAGCCCAGGCACTGGAATCAACTTTGCTTATCACAACATCCTGCTCCATGTTCTGTAATGCTTTCAGGACACCTTCCCGTTGAACCTTATGAGAGGACGCGTCGTTTTAGGAAAATAGGTTCACGTCCACTTCCAACTTCACCGACAGTACTTTCATGCCACCAACGTTACCGGAACACTGTACAATCAAATGTTGCAGATGTGAGGCGATTGGCATATCGTTGTTGGTGTGTAGTGTGATGGATTCTTATAGTAGCCGCATTGCTCGAAGGCCCAGAATAGACGGACTGTGGGATGATACCAGAAATCGGATTGGGATCGATACGCCGGATTCAGATTGAACGCACAACATCGTTTCCCCAAGTAATTACAACTGATGGCCAGTAACCCCATGAATGCGCACAGAAGTCGGAGCTAGAACAGCATTAGGACAGATCGCATTGAGTGCTGATTTCGGTAGGATTTATTCGCTGCTTCCTGTGTCCGTGATGAATCGATGCTCCACATCAGAGTCGAACCTCAGTGGAGCGAACACGAACTGACCGTTGGGTTCAGCGGTCTGCAGCGTGTAGATTGGGCTTGATTTCTCATCTGCCGTTGGGATATGGGAGTCAATGAGGTTGCACTTGGGCATTCGGCATACTTTTGCGGATATGGCCCATCTTACCGCATGCATGGCACGGAATCGACAAGTCGAACGAAGATGGTATTCACTACATGAAAAACAACGGTTGGTGACGGCCTTCGGTTGTGTTCGACTTGGATTGGGTACTTGAGGAATCTGGGGTGAAGTNCCGATGGAATAACACAGGAGTATCCGCATTTGTGGCAGCACACAAATCGTCACTCTGCTCACAGATTTTTCGAGCCTCAGCAAAGGTGATATCTTTCTTTTCCAACATCTTAAGTTGTAATGAGATGTTGTTGATTCCAGCAATGAGACGGTCGCAAAGTTGTTCTTCCAATCGGTCACTATGGTTGCATTTTGACGCCTGTTTGTTCAACTGGAGAATGAACTCACGGCACGGCATGCTGGCAGCTCTGATCATTGAGTTGAATTTGGCCCGTTCAGTGGCCTGAAAATCCACTGGGAGAATGTGGTCCAGTAATAGGGATTTCAACTTCTCGAACGGCAATTCAGCAGGAATATTCGGGAACGCTAGATTCTTCACCAGGGAATACAGCTCTCGGCCGCCCAATGTCAAAAATAGAACCGACTGATTTTGCATTCCTCCTTTCGGGATGCTGCACCACAATTCGAAAGGTTCTACCCACTCTTCGATTTCTGATGGGCTTCCGTGCAGGTTCATTGGTTCAATGACAGGAATCTCCATTGCGCGACGCCAACTTCTGGTAATCGGAATGGTGTTGAATTTAGGAATACGAGAATCCGTACTGTACTGCTCAGAAATAAATTGGCTCCAGCTCGAACTGCGGACACCAATGAAATACACGAGGAATTGATAGCAGCAAATGCTTATGTTTATTATAGAGTTAGAGCATGTTTTATAGGAGGTAATAGCTCAAATGATTGGTTGAAGGGCCGTCGTCCAATTACGTAACCGTTTGCGCCGACGAATCATATGTACTAACTCGGATGTCACGTTCGCCCAGTATACCATTGGTCGAGCTTCCTGAACGGTGATTGGATGACGTGAAACTGTAGCTAGTCTTTCATGGATTGCGGTCACGGAAGTCTGGATCGCCACATGGACATACTGATTGTCTGTGACGTATCCGAGGTGCATTGTGTTTTGGCCCAACGGATAGGTGGCCGTAGAGATCCGTACGCTGTGCGCATGAGGTTCGGTTGGATAGTCTGCGGAACGCTCGTCAATGACGGTAACTACTCAGCCTCAATCAACTACATCTCGCGGCCAGATAATCCTATAGGAGACGACCTTGAGCGGCTTTATAACTACGAGTTCGAGGACATAGCAGATGACCGGGTATTTATGTCGAGGGAAGACCGATCAGCCCTGGCTACCGTCACCAAAATGATACAACACAACGGATTCCAATTTGAAGTGCCGTTACCCTTGCGAATGGGATCAAATAGATTACCCGATAATCGAAAGGTAGCCCTCCATAGGCTCAACTCTCTGAAGGAACGACTGGAAAAGAACGCACAGTTGAAGAAAGCCTATTGTAATGCTATGAAACCAAATAAGAGTTGGGCTACATCGAACGCGCAGTGGGATGAGCTGACAAAGAGCAACCATTAAAGTATCTTTCGCACCACCTAGTTATAAACCCTAAGAAACCTCAGAAGACCAGGGTTGTGTTCGACTGTGCTGCCAAGTGTGACGGGATTGTCCTAAGCGACTGTCGACTACAACGCCTAGATCTGACAACCCCGCTGATTGAGGTACTGTGCCGGTTTATTCTAGGGTCAGTTGCGGTAGCAGCTGATGTCCAGGAAAGGTTCGATTTTTCAGCTGTCGCACATTCAGTGTGAGATTTGGAAATTATACAACCAAAACTGAGGAAATATTGAGTGGTGTCCCACAGGGATCGGTTTTGGGTCCGTTATTATTTTTTATCTTCATTACCGACCTTGCGAAGGATCTCCAAAATCCTTGCTTCACGTTCGCTGATGATGTGAAGCTAGCTAAGGAAGGATTGAATAGGATCTAGATACAGTTTGAAAGTGGTCGGATAAGTGGGATCTGCCACTGAATCTAGGTAAGTGACCACAAGAGCCAATGATGACACGAGAGGTGTGATGCATCTGTAGTACGTTTCTGAGGCAAAGGATCTAGGGGTAATGATCGCGAACGACTCATTTAGAATATTGTGTACAGGCATGGGCGCCTTATTTTAAACAGGACAAACGGTTTCTTGAGAAAGTACAGCGCTTAGCAACTAGAATGGTAGCAGGCCAGAAAGATAAGGGATATTTCCAGTCTGCGGGACCTATTCTCCCCGGCTCGCGGACGCATGCGGGGCGACCTTATAGAGATATTTAAGATTGTCAAAAGGGCTTTCGGGTCTAAAGTTCCAAAACGTATTCTCGTTTGTTCCTGCCAGGGGCACGAGAGGCTGTCAACTTAGATTGGAAAGAAGTCATTGTAGGCTAAATTTGCGAGCTACGTTCTTCACAAACAGAGTTATACCATTGTGAAATAAGTCACATTAAGCAATGGTTAACTGTATTAATGTCGAATCTTCCACGAGAAGGCTAAATGAATGCTGGGCAGTGTTATTTTCCCAAGTTTAGTATTGAAAGTCAATCGTTAGGCTTGACTTTCCGAAACACTGTAAGGAATCTGATAGTGCAAACTAACATTCTGCCTTTCAGAAACTACTATTGACTCCAAGTGCTGGAAGCCAACGAAACCGCCAACAACACTAGCAACTGGACGCGCGATTGGCAATAGCCACAAAATGTTCAGTGAGAACTGAACGGGAAAAACGGGAAAAACATACAAATAGAGGTTGTACACGCTCGGTCCTTTTTCACTAGAAAAAAGGAGGTTGCGCGGAGACCTCATCGAAGTATTCAAGATTAAGAAAAATTTGCTCGGTCTAGATCCTGGGTCCTTCTTCACTGAGGCCCCTCACCAAGGAACGCGTGGACATGAGCTCAAACTCATGAAACAGCGTTCTAGGCTGAATTTACGAGCACATTTCTTTATTAATAGGGTAGTGGATAATTGGAATAAGCTACCGTCGGAACTGATTATGCAGTCAAGTGTCCAGGCCTTCAAAAGAGCTCTGGATGCCAGATGGTTGGAGCTTTTTCCTGACATAGAATGTTAGGTGCGTAAATTGCTTTTGCGTGATGTGGAATGCTTCATCAACAAAGGTCTCTCGCCGACACGACAAGAAGTAAAGTCTCTCTTTCTCTCTGTTTGCAGAAGGAAGGAGAAACCGATCAATCGCAGAGGTGGACGCACACTCGAGGGTATACCACCGAGGGAATTCTGGACGCGTGATTGGCCTGTGGCCACTATCAGTCCTGTGCAACCTGACCTGACCTGAACTGAACTGACCTGAACTGATAGATGAGTGGAATCAGCCACCATCTTCACTAATAGACTGTAGGACAGTCGACGAGTTCAAAAGGCAGCTAGATAGAGTCTGGACGAGCCTGTATCCAGAGATCATGTAGGATACCTGCTATTGACAGTAGGTGTCTATGCTGCCCTTTTTCAAATAACCTCCCTTTGCAGGCACGGACGCGCCAAGGGAGACAGTTCGAAACGAAGAAATCGGCTGTGGTCAAATGGTCGACAAGAAGTCGAAGCTCCGGAAGACGTCTTCCAACTGGAGCAAGAATCTGGACGCTCAATAGACGAAAGCCTTTACCGTCCTGTGCAACCTGACCTGACCTGAAATTTTGAAGTGCTCTGGTTGAAAATACGTTTTCGTAATATTTCAGTGGAATATCTTACGATATTTACTTTTTACTGACAGGAAATCTGTCTACTCAGTTGTAAAGCGTATTTGCTGTGTCCTCTTAGAAGGCTGCATTATGTATACAGTGGTAGTTTGCTCACCGTAAATTGTCACTGCAGCGCTTTAAGAAGCACGTTAAAACGAACTATGAAGTCCGTTTTACTACATTACTTTTTAACGAAAGCTCGATAGTAAAATATCTAGCTTCAGTTATACCGTTTTTTGGAAGGTTTTTGCAAACTAGCTCTGTTAACCGTTTTTCAGTAATTACTGACGCACTTTTCACGTTTTGGTGTTATACAGTATAGTTGGTGTCCTATATTTATCAGTTTCACGTGCATTGCGCAATCTTTGTTCAAAATATGCCACGTGTTAACTTCCCGTGTCTGAATGAAATGTGCGGGAAAAGGTGGTAAGTGGCATAATNGCATATAGCCCAAAGTGCTGTCCCCGGAAAGTCACCAAGACTTACGGAGGCAAAACGAGTGGAAAGTACGGAATTAACGACTGAAGAGGTGACAGCCAAAACGTATGCCGCGGTGGTGAAACAATCACCCGGCAAACCTGCTCCAGGAGCACGGAAATTGCAAACAAAGGC